GGGCGGCGGCGGCGGCGAGGGGCTGGAGCGTGCTGGGGACCAGCAACAGGGCGAGCCGCAGGTGGAGGTCGCGGAGGGGGGCACGGCGCGCGTACACCGGCAGCAGCAGCAGCAGCAACAGCAGCAGCAGCAGCAGCACGAGGACGTCGGCAGCGGCGTCAAGAAGAGGCGCGAGCGCTCGCCGTCTCCGGCGGGCGGCCGCGAGCCGCCGGAGCCGTTTGCTTGAAGCCGGTGTGGACGGGCGGCGTGTGTGTTTGGCGCACGCGCGCGGCAGAGGGGGGGCGGCCATCTCGCTTGTTTTTTGCGTGTGGGCGGGCGTCGTTTGGGGCAGCAGGCGGCTGGTGCGGCGCCGGTCTGCTTGAGAAGCGGCGGCCCGTCGGGCTGAGCGCGCGTAGGGCCACCGCGGGCAGGCGTGGACGCACTGGCATGCACGTTGAGGGTCGAGGCGGGCGGCGGCGGCCGCACGTCTCCCGGTAAATTTCTCTTCTATGCCGGCATGCAGATATGTGTCAGGTCACGGGCGCGCGCACGGCCCACCAGCCGGCTGCTCACGGCCGCTGCTTTGCCGGGCTCTGCTTGGCCCCGTCCTGCGTGCCCTGCCCAGGCAGGTGGGCCGGGGGCGTCAAGCCATCTCTCTGCAGCAGCCGCATGCAAACTCAACGGCGGTCCGCCTCGCGCCGTCGATTGCCTGCACCATGAAGCCACAAACTCTTGATCCAGCGGCGCCCCCCTGCGCATGCACAGGCCAGCAGTCCCGATAGATAAACAACGCCCGGCAGCGCCCGAGCAGCATGTCGAGACACACGCCCAGACCTGGCCGGCCGCGCGCTGGCAAGCAGCAGCACATAAACAAAGGAGCGTTCGCTGTCAGGGCGCCGCCGCACACCCCGCCTACGCACACACACACACACACACACACACACACACACACACACGCACACACCCACGCACACACACACACATGGCGCTGTATGCATCCAAAGCTGGGAATGATTTGAAGCACAAAGTTGGCCATTTTCGCCCAGCCAGTGCGCACAGCGTTGATGCCGGGAGCGACCCAACACGCGGTAGTGACGTCATCTGGATGAGCAGCTGCCGGGACCGCGCATGATCTGCGCGTCCATCCAGCATCCAGGAGTGCTGGCAGTGCTTGGACATGGAAGCACCCGCTGAGTCTTGCGGGTATGTGGATGGACTGCATGCCAAGCGCCTCGGGGCGCCGCACATCCCTCCTGACTCAGCATCTACTGCTGTTCTACATGCCCGCGGCCAAACCCGTATGATATCGTCCACCGCTATATAAGTCACCTCATACAATTCTCTGTCGCTATGCTGGTACAAACCTCTATACAGTACATCGCGTTCAAAGGTGCCCGAAGCTGTCGGTGCTTGTGTTTGCTCGCTGGTGGAGGCTGAGACACGGAACACACATATATTGATGTTTGAGGCTGCTCACGGTTTACTTTGCTCGCTCGACCACGCACCTGTGAACCTCATCAGAGTCGCTGGACTCCAGTGCTGCTGGGTGAGGAAGCGGCAAGGACCGCTCCATTTACGCTAGCATGTGCACAATCTACGCATTAGGGAGGCGCATGGGTCGATCCCATCGCCATTCGCTTTGCGGACGAAGCGCCGCCGCACTCGCGCGACCCGCGGCCCGCCGAGGCTTGGCAGTGCTGACTGCCTGATGCTCGCATTCCATACGCGCCATATCAGATACGCATAACAGTCCTGTGTACGCACGATGAAATCAAGTGCGGATCGGGCCGCATCTGAGCGCCAGCAGAAGCAGCAGCGCGCGCGGTCAGGTGGGCACTTGCGGGCGGTTGGGGTTGCGGGCGCTTGCACCGGTCGTGCAGGGGACACGCGCGACCGTTCAGGCCCATGCCTTGCCATTGCCGGCACGCATGCGCGCACGCGCATGTATGCACGCATGCATGCACGCATGCACGCACGCATGCATGCATGCGCGCATGCATGCACGCACATACGCACGCACGCTTGCATCCATGCATGAAGGGCATGCGTGTCAAGAGGGGCGGCATGCGTACAGCCGCGTGCGGCAGCACCGCCAAATGCGTCCTGCATGGAGCTGCATCGGCACAAAAGCGGAGGGCGCGGTTGCCAACCTCGCGGATCAACGGAGACAACGCCCCCCCCCTCCCCTCCACATCGACACGCCTGCAGAATTCTGTCAGGCGGTGGGCGACCTGTTTGTGACCGGGCAGCCTGCCGCCAGCACTAAAGCAGCTCGCGCTGTGCTGTCAGTGATCCAGGACAACGGCGACACGGTGGTGGAGAACGGGTCGTTCAAGATCTCGGTGACTGGATACGGCAGCGGCGCCCCCGCAAAGGTTCCCCTCGAGGTCGTCGTGCCCTCAGGGTACAAGCTCTACCAGGAGCACGATGGCGCCTTCGCGAGGGCAAAGACCCTTGGCAGAGTGCTGCAGCTGCTCGTGCAGCCGACGGCGCCGCCGCACCCCGACATCCCCCCGCAGCTGCTCTCCGGCCCCAAGACCCTGGCCAGGCTCATCTACGGGCGCGATGAGTTGTCGCCCGCGCAACTGGGGCGCATCGCCGACAAGATCGTGGTCCTGACGTTGCTGGAGGAGTCGGCCGTCATCGACGCCTCTGAAGGACTGCTCAACAACATCGTGGCCAACTGCCACGTGTGCCTGCGGGACCACCCGCGTGCGCTTCCCGAGCTGATGCGCGCGCTCGCCGGGGAGTACCTGGATGGTGGCGGCGGCGGCGGCGGCGGCGGCGGCGGCGGCGGCGGCGGGGGTGGTGACGGCAGCAGCGGCGACGGCGACGGCTGCGGCGGTGGCGGCGGCGGCGGAGGCGGCGGTGGGGACGGCTCGCAGTCAGGCGGCAGCGGCGACTTCGCCTCCCTGATCTGCAACGTGCGCGGCCTCGAGGCGGATGGCAGGGGGCGCGTCGTTCAGGCGTCGATCATCGTCTTTCGGGAGATGTTGAAGACGCACATGCGGGACTGGGCGTCACCTGGGACGTGGGATTTCAACGAGGCAGCAAAGACCGCGGTCGTGCGCGCCCCGGCCGTCGCGGAGGAGCTCAGCCGCCGCGGCAAGCGGCGGCCGCGGCCGCCCTCGGCCGAGCAGTCGCAACCGACCGGGCGGCGACGGCAGCCCCACGAGGACGCCTCGCAGGACTCGGCGGAAGAGGAAGGGGGCGGACCGAGCCCGGGCGGCGGGAGACGCGGCGAACGCCCAGACCGCGCGGGCGCTGCTGCGTCCGAGGAGGACGAGGAGGAGGAGGAGCCGGCATCGGGCAGCGGGGACGACGAGCCGCCGCGGCCGCCCCGCCTGGGCTGGGCGAGGGGTGGCTGGCGCCCCGGCGGACCCCTCGGCGGCGGCGGCGGCGGCACGGGCACTGGCGGCGGCGGCGGGGGCGGTGGAGGCGGAGGCAGGTGCGACTCGTGGAGTGTACTGAGGTCAAGCCTGGAGCAGCAGTGCAGCCAGCTCGCGCGCCGCTGCAGCGACCTAGAGGTAGAAAACATCGGGCTGAGGAGCGCCCTCAGCCGCACACAGCAGGACCTGGCCAGCGCCAGGTTGGAAATTGAGGAAATCATGTGCGTCCGCAGCGGGCAGCAGCAGGGCGGCGGCGGTGACTCCATGCGCACCCACGAGCCGGGCGCGCGGATCCCACAGGCGGACGCGCCGCATCCAAGGGTGCAGGGCGCGCACCCGCCCCAGGCGCTGCCGCTGCGGCCTCCGCAGCCACCGCGCCAGACGCCGCAACTGCCCCAGACCCCTTCGTTTGGCGGCAGCTGCGCGCCAGGGGGCGGCGTTGCGGGGTTGCAGTCGGCGCCGAGGCCGCGGCAGCAGCAGCCGCAGCCGCACCAGCAGCCGCAGCCGCAGCAGCAGCTGCAGCAGCAGCGCCAGCAGCAGCACAACCAGCAGCAACACAACCAGCAGCAGCACAACCAGCAGCAGCAGCAGACGCGACCGTGGCCGCAGCCGCATCAGCGGCAGCAGCAGCAGCAGCAGCAGCAGCAGCAGCAGCAGCAGCAGCAGCACAACCAGCAGCAGCAGCCGCGGCCGCAGCCGCAGCACCACCACCAGCAGCTCCAACAGCTCCAGCAGCGGGTGCCTAGCCCCGGCGGCCCCGCCCCGCCGGCTGCCCCGACCCCAACGCCGCAGCACGGCGGCGCGTTTGGAAGCGGCGGCTCTGCGCCTGTACAAAAGCAGGCCAAAGGCACCGAGCCGTGGCAGCAGACGCTTTTGCGGCGACGCCAGAAGCAGCAGCAGCAGCAGCAGCAGCAGCAGCAGCAGGAGCAGCGTCAGTCAATGGGCAGCGCCAGTGTCGGGTGCGCCACGGGCCCCGGCGAGACGCTGAGGCGGAACGGCAGCGGCGGCGGCGGTGGCATTGGGGGCGCCGCTGCACCGGCACCAGAGCAGCACCTGCCGCAGCGGCAATGGCAGCAAAAGTCGGGGTCGGGCGGCTTGCTCCCGCTACCGTCGTATGCACCGCGGGGGCGACGGTCCTTCACGCCCCCGGTGGTGGCTCGCGCGCCGGCAGGCCCTCCCCCGGCGACCGGGCCGTAGAGGGCGGGCGTGCCGGCACACGCGGCTGGCGTCGTTGTCGAGGCGAAATCGACTGACCCCGTGGCGCCGTGACCCGTTTTGCGCTCGTTTGCGGCACGTGAAGGGGCCCACCTGCGGTCGAGCGATGCCTCTGCACGCGCGCGCGACAGAGCCCGCGCCGTCGTGCGCTGGCGCGCTCGTTGCCATCGCCAAATGAGATAGTGTTGCACGCAGGTGCGCGTGCTCTGCATCCATACATACACAAATACCTATACACACATACAAGCATACAAAAATACACACGTTCAAAACAGTTTAGTTCACGTACACACGAAACAATCACATACTGACATACACCAGACACACACATGCGCGCGCAACTGGAACACGCACATCCATGCGCACAGAAACCCCCTGGTGTCCCATTCTTTTGCCCGAGTGTGAGTGCTGTACATCATCACTCGGTCGCTTGCAGGATGCAGACCACAGACACCAACAGAAATGTCAAATCCAAATGCGCTCCCCCTCATGCAACGCGGCATGCATCCAGACATGCATCTTGAACTCACCACCACGCGGCAACTTTGCCGCCCACAGCAAGGGGACGCGCACGGCCCGGCCACGACCCGATCGCGGCCTGCGCGCGTAGCTGCTCGCCCGCCTGGTGTGCGGTGTGGCTGCACCTACCCGCCCGCTCTGCGCCTGCTGATATGAGTGACGCGCCACGCTGCACGCGTGCATTTATGTGTGCATGTGTGTGTGTGTGTGTGTGTGTGTGTGTGTGTGTGTGTGTGTGTGCGTGTGCGCGTGTGGCTGTGGCTGTGTGTGTGAACGTGGGTGGGTGCACGCTCACTTTATTTGTATACAACGATTGTGGAGAGAGAGCCGCTGGTACATGTTATGGGGCTGAGCCGGTGTTTCCTCAGGTTGTACCAATTAGACGGGGGCAGAGAGCAGAAAATTTGCTTCGCAATGTCAGCGGGGTGACCAAAAACGCCACGCGTGCGATGACCAATATGAAGCTGTACCATCAGAGGCACGTACCGCACCTAGTGTGATGTCAGAGCCCCTTTCTCCACGCTAGGGAGCGCGTACCAGCGAAGCCAAGCCAGTCACCTCTACAAGTTCGGCTGGCCGGCGGCAGGCTGCTGCCCAGCAGCACAGCCTGCTGCCCTCGCGTCGCATGCAGGCAGCTGCTCCGTGACGACTCATGAGGGACGGGTGTGCAGCAGCAGCACGGACTGCTTGGGGCCTGCGAGGTCCCGCGAGATGGAAACGAATGACATATATATATATCATGTTACGACAAGCCCTACGCGGCAACCCGCGTATGTACGGAATCCACTCTTTGGTCGGCCCTCGCAGCCCCTTTCGCCGCATTGCTCCGCTGTTGGACTGGAGAATAATCTAGGCAAAAAACGCAGGGGCTCGCGCACGAGTGCCTCGCGTCTTCGTCGCGTCATGCCTGCTCTGTGGGAGGCTCAGATCGGTGCAGCTCTGCCATACTAGGCTGGCGGTCGCGGCTCTCGCGCCAATTTAATAGCAATTGGCAGGTATGACGCTTTTTCAGGTGCCTTGGGGCCGTTGGCGCCACGCCGCCGCGCCCGCCGTCCGGGACAGCGGGTGCCGTATGCGCATGGTGCGCGCTGCTGCAGCATGGTGGCGGGGGCAGTGCGCACTCGCAGGCCGGTGCGGCGCGGCACGGGGCGATCAGCGTCCTGGAGAGTCATGGTGCGACCTACAGCGGCTCAGCGCCCTTGCGCGTCTCTTGCCGCCAACTCCCCTGCCCGTGGGCCATCGCCCCCGGCCGTGCGGCCCGCAGAGCAGGATCATGCGTCCGCCGCGGCCCTCGCAGCGCGCCGGCCCGACAACGGACAAGCGCAATCGGCACCCTTCTGTCCGTGCGAGGGAGGCCAGCGAGTCTGCGGTCGCCGAGGCAGCGGCGGCCGCCGTCCGCCGCCGCCCTCGCGGCGCCGGTAGCGGCGTGGCGGGCCCGCCGGCCAAGTACGCGGCGTACTTGGCCAAGAAAAACGCGCGGCGCCGCGAGGCGGTCGCGGCCGCGATGCTCAAGCGCGTCGCGGCGCGCATCGGCGCGAGGGAAGCGCGCGCGCGGCGGCAGCGTGAGGGCGACGCCGCTTGCGGCGAGGCCGGCGCCGGCGTACGCGGAGGGAGGAGGCGAGAGGGGGGCCCGCACCTCGAGGCGGCTGCAGCCGCGGCCGCTGCTGGGCAAGCCGCCGCGGCCGCCGCCGCCGCCGCCGCGGCTGCGGCCTCTGGCGTCGCCACCGCCGTCCCTGCTTCCCGGGCTGCCGCGGTCGCGTCGCGTCGTGTGTCGCGGACGGCGAGGGCGGCGCTGTCGGCTTGCCCAGCAGCGGCCGCGGCGCTTCCTGTCAGGGCCGCGCAGCTCCCCGCCACCGCAGCCGTGCGTCGGACGCCGCTGGCGCAGGCTAACTTTGTGGCTGCAGCGGTGCGCAGTGGCGGGAGGAGGGCGGCAATTGCGGTGATGCGAGCAGCGGGGTGGGCTAGCGCGTCTGGCGTTTGTGCGGCCACGCGCCCTCTACACCGTCAACGGCACGCCCATCGCTCCCTGCACGCGCCCCCGCCCTACCCTGCGGCGGCCCCCTCCCCACCCCCACGCCGCCTCCCTCCTCCCTCCTCCCTCCCCTCCAC